AAAATTTAAACTCAAGATGCATGTTCGAACAGAACCGCGGCGTGTCGTGTTGCTTACGAGTGCATAAGGACAGTCCACATATAAACCATATTATCACAGATTTATATTAAATCTGTGATATTATGCACTCCTCGTTCCCCTGAGAAACTTCGTCCGACTGTGAGATCAGCCTTAATCACTGATATTTTCGGGTTACGGTGATCATCCTTCCAAAAACACTTCCCTAACTTCAAAGTTTTGCGATATTCCAAGATCATGCTTTGACGTCTACCCACAGTGCATAAGTACGTATCTATCGATATTTGAGTCAGGAGTTGTGTCTGTGATGACGGTGGAATAGGGTTTCTCAGAAATGGCTTTCAATGAGTGATGCTGTAATCACGTATATTACGACATAATTTAATAATTATGTCGTAATATACGTGATTACACAATACATACATAAAATGTAATCATTTTATATTTTAGAGGATAATGGCAAAGAAAAAAGAACAAAAATATTAAGAAACAATAACATACCTAATTAGTAATAGTAGGTTGCAGGAAAATGTTGACAATATTTATAGACTTGATCCTATTGCTCAATATTTGTCAGTATTGCAATAATCCGGATCTCTGCACTCCGAACAGTGATTGGCTCTTGGGTACTTTTTCGAGTGTTCATGACATTGCCTGTCAGAACAATGTCTCACCGCTTGATTTACGGTGTTTCCGTTTCTTGTCAAAGCTAAAAAGAGGTATATGATATTCGTGTATTAGATAACATAACATTAAGTACTTACTTCTATAATAAAATATGCACCTTGCAGATGGCCAAAGGAAAGTAGCACGGCATGAATGAATTTCGGTAATATTAATGAAGTGACGACAGTTCTTAAAGGCTTCAGGGTTGTCGTCGGAATAAACATTGCAATAATAGCAGTTTGCATATTCTGCCCCTACGATTCGATACGTAAATTTAATACTCGTAGTTACCTATGTAGCTACAACTAGTTTTGAAAGTGACTATTTTATTAAGCAAATAAGTAAGTGAAAAAAAGGCACTTTGAAAACGTGTGGTACACGAAATTTTTTGCATAGTGATACCTACCCAACCCATATATGGGTGCGGAAAAGTAATATCGTTGACATTCACGATTTACTGTCACTCAAAAAAACATCGTGAAAAAAGTAACACTTTCCATACGATTTTTTGACAAAAAAGTCCGGTAATTTGATCACTCTACAAAAATTTTAATTTGTGCAACCTGTTGGGAAAAGCACTATTTTTCCCAACGTGTTTCACACAATATTTTTCCTAATTTTGACATTTAAAGTGATACTTTTCATCACCAGTTACGAAATATTTTACTTTTCACATCTGGTTGCGAAAAGTAAGGCATTTAACGTCGAATTTAAAAAAAGTTGTCAAAATTAGAAAAAATAATATATATCTAAGGGTATTCGACGTGTTCAAAAATAGTACATTATACATATATCAAGGTAGAGAAGTCCAGTATTTTCATATACGTATACTTGCGCAAAAAAGTGTTAGGTAGTATTTTCACCAAAGTGGATGACAAAATCAATTTTTTGCGTAGTGACCCATTCAAAATATATTCCAGAACCATTATTAGAGAACGTTATTAGCGAGGTTACTAGTTCTTTCTGAACTGGTACGTGCGTTCCCTCGTTTCCCTAGCAAAATTGGCACATCGGACACAACGGTAGCATTAAACAAAGCTTGAGTACAGTAGTACCGTTGAGTGAAGGATTTAATTACTCAATGGTAGTACTAACACCGTCCGTCAATATGGGAACACGATTTAAAAACCTACATTCGTTTCGTTTACAACAAAGATGACTTTTACATCGTTTATTTGTAAAGCAATTTCTTTATGAAATTGTTGCCATCTCTTTATCGCTGAAGTGTTGGCATGTGTTAGAAAATGACAAAAGCGATTGAAATTTGTTCACAAGTTAGTGATCTAAAGCTCATCTTTGGAGCAAACGACTGTATACGTCAATACCTTAGAAAAGACGACGATTCATTTTAAATAAACGGGTTTGCAAGCATTGCTCGCAAAATACCTATAGAAAGGTAGGTATACCTAAGTATAAGAAATTACACAAGTTATGAGGTTGTGAGTGAAAAGGAAAAGGCGAGGGAAAAGGTCATCGTGTTTCATTCCTCCGACATTTCTGACTACAGGGACGCCGGAGGCGGGTTGCTCAGGCTTGCCAGAGCCTCTTCAGCCAGAGAACGGGAATGTAAGGATAGGTAAAGTTAGGGATGGGAACGGAAGGAACGGAGTTAGGGTACTGAGGGGGAGAGTATTGCTCCAGCATTCGCTTCGTAGATTTCAACATAATGCTAGCAGTATGCGAAGCTACGTATGCCTGAGGGAAACCCTCGTTCGTGCATAGCATCATAAAAGTGTCGTTTCCTACCTGAGACAACACCTACACACACCAGACCAACAGAAACCAATAAAAGTTTAAAATACATATCTTCAAAATGATGATAATACTCGTCTATGAGGCAGCCTGCACACGCATTTATACCTACATCTCAAGAGCTTTAACAGATTAGATAAATCTTAAAATAGTTAGTGATTATCTGCTCATCTTATAATTATTGCGAAGCCCAATACTGGTTGGCCCGTATTCTACTAATTTATTACCGTATGATTTCTTTTTTCCCCAAATCGTCATGAAACCTTAATTTGCATGCCTACTTTATGTCAGGCAATTTTAGTTTCCATGACAGTGGGCCCTGCAGTGGGCGGTAACACTTTAGTCTTTAAGCTGGTATTATAGAATGTTGTCACCTAACGCCGGTGTTGTTAAAAGGCATGTGAATTTGCCATTTTCGAATCGCTTCTAGAACCTTTTCAACTCTTAAGACGATTTATTTCAAAATTTCAACCAAATCGGTTGGGTAGTTTCTTTCTGAACCATGTTTACAAGAATCATGCCGCACGCACATACACCCATTCATACAGACATTTTTTAACAAGTTAAAAAGTAATCGTAAACGATTTACACAAAGCGCATTTCCACTTGCATTCATTTCCCATTTGTAAGATGCAACTTCTGTTAAAATCGTAAAAATCCGCCCACAAATATGAAAGATAGCGTTGCACATGGGCAATCCATTGTTGACGTGCTACTTCAATTTCAGTTTATGAGAAGAATTTCATTTCAATGCTTTTCTAAATAAGAAAGTTGGAACTGCGCATGCGCAAACCTAAATTTTAAAACTAATGTTAGATTTTCCTTTGTTCCAAGCGCCTAAGTATCAAATTTCACTTAAATAGTTCCATAGATAAAAAAGTTGGCACGGCGCATGCGCAAAATAAAATTTTGAAACTGGCGCTAGATTTTCCTTTATTCCAAGTGCCTATGTATCACATTTCATTTAAATTCTTCCATAAATAAAAAAGTTGGCACTGCGCATGCGCAAAACCAAATTTTGAAATTGGCGTTTGATTTTCCTTTATCCCAAGTGCCTATGTATCAAATTTCGTTTAAATTCTTCCATAAATAAAAAAGTTGGCACTGCGCATGCGCAAAACCAAATTTTGAAATTGGCGTTTGATTTTCCTTTATTCCAAGTGCCTATGTATCAAATTTCGTTTAAATTCTTCCATAAATAAAAAAGTTGGCACTGCGCATGCGCAAAACCAAATTTTGAAATTGGCGTTTGATTTTCCTTTATCCCAAGTGCCTATGTATCAAATTTCGTTTAAATTCTTCCATAAATAAAAAAGTTGGCACTGCGCATGCGCAAAACCAAATTTTGAAATTGGCGTTTGATTTTCCTTTATTCCAAGTGCCTATGTATCAAATTTCATTCAAATACTTTTATAAGTAAAAAAGTTTGCAATTCGGTTTATAAATGGTCGAGATGCGAAAAGGGCACTGTGAATTTTGAATCGATTCGATTCAACTTTTGGCATTGCGTATTATATGGCTAAAGCTATGCCCATATTGAATTTCATGCAATTCAGTTCATAACTAACGGAGATGTAAAAGCGATCGAACATTTCTAAACAAAGTTATCGTTCACACGGACAGATAGATGGACAGACAGACAAAGGAACAGACGGAGAGACCAACCGGCAGGCGACAGATAGCAATGCAAAATTATAAACGATCTCTAGGATCGTTAATAAACGGCAAAAGTGTAAAATTATGGAACATGTAAAAAACGGTTTTTTGTTTTTTTTACAATAACTTTTTTTGTAAGCGGTACAGAAAAAATTCCTTCCTTGGTACAAGACTCGACACCATAACGAACCAAATAGCGAAAAAAGTAGAACAATAGCTCTTAAGATAAAAAACTAGTAGCGTCGCAAAGTTAGCGGACGGACGGACGGACGGACGGACAAAGTGGCCACAATAGCGCATTTTTTTTTAATTTTTGTGGAAATGCGCTAAAAACGGGTGAAGATATTAACAGTGTTTGGTGCGACAAGTGCTTAGCTGATTTTAGTAATAAAACAAACACGACACCGAGCACTAAACCATATCGGCGCTCTGAATCGCAGTATATAATTTATTATCAAATTGCGCATAACGTGAAGCCATAGTATACTGCGAATCAGACCAGAGCTGCTCTGAATAATAGTACAGAATGCCAATACGCCTCCCGGTCTATACTATAATGAGTTGAAGCGTACAGCCACGTTTTGACTTGCTCGCTATTTGACGCATATAAGTTATATGCCAGTAATTTGGTGTTGGGGGTTTGAGGTATCAGTTCATTTTGGAAAACGAGTCTCTGGGCCAGAAGTTTGGCTTTAGTAAAAAAATTAAACGTTGTATCTTGTGTGTATGTGTATCGTATTGAATTTGTTTTACTTTACTTTAAGAACAAAGAACACAACACAAGTTTCGTCACCACTACCGTTTGTTTAACTCAATATTCCCAGAGCTTGTCGATAGTAAGTAGCTAGTTCTTATAAAAAGGTTTTCACTCGATGGTAGGTATGAAGCAGGCAATCAATCAAACAATATTATAGAAAAAAAAGTTTTACTGCAGCTTAAGGTATAGGTAGTAGTTAAGTTTAAACAAAGTACAGGTTTCAGTCTTGCATTTTATGTATGGTTAATATGTACTATCATTGAATAAGTATTTATTGGTTATTCTATGCTACCTACTATGAAGAAGAGTCTTTTTGTATCTCGATTTTAAAATATTTGTAGAATAAGGCACATAACTTTGGAGGAATTGATCTGAAATAATACAAGATATGACATAAGCAAAAAATGTTTGAATAACGTACCTAAATAAACACTTCAACGCTAAGTAGTAACCAGGAATAGTAACCTCCACCATTTCACTTCTTTGGGCGTTCACTATACTCGTGGCGGCATACTTTTTGTTAGCCTTCGGCAAAAAAGAAGGATAGTTAACATTGGCTCTGTTCACCATCTCCGTATCAATAAAGAAGGGATGTACCAAAGTAGTTTTGATTTGACAATTTCCGTACAAAGCAAGCTCTTTTCGTAAACTATCCATTAACCCTTGAATTGCATACTTTGAGACGCTATACGGAATAAGAAGTGGAACGCCCCCAAAACTGCTTATCGATCCCAGAGCGACTATGTGACCATAATTGTTTTTTAACATTGACGGCAATATAGCTTTTATCATCTGAAACAATTTATGAAGCCGATACTGGCACAGTGATTGCAGATATATACTCACCCAAAAGTGAGACAAGGTGTTAACGCAGATATTTCGTTCAATTTCTTCTTTGGACATCGCACAAAGTCGGTTGACAAAAGCAATACCTGCGTTGTTAACTAAAATGGTAACATTTCCTACTGTCCTTTCGACATCTTGACACATATCCATCACTTTTGCGTAATCACTTACGTCGCACCTGTATGTCTATATTATTATAGTGTATCTAATTCCCAAACTTGAAAATACCCACGTATAAGCGTGTGCTTTTCCGTATCCCAGATCGGATATCATTCTGGTAGTTTTTCTGTTGGATTCTTCTTGTATGTCCACGCAGACCACGGTAGCGCCTTCAGATGCGTACAGAAGTGCCATCTCTCTTCCTATACCTTGGGCAGCGCCCGTTATCTAATCGACATTTGAAATGACAACAGCAGAAACTTAAGGTTTTTGGAACTTACCAAAACTATTTCGCCACTCACTGATTTTTTGGAGTTAGGGACAAAATATCTCCAAATTGACCCCAAAATGGCACACAAAGTATTTGCGATGATGCAAAACATGTTCAGGAAAGGAACGCAAGTTTATTTCTCCGATGGATTTAGAAAACTAGAACTTGATAACAGTGATAAAATATTACATGTACAATACTGATAGTAAACTCCCAGGGAGCCTTGACAGTAAAGACCTCTGAACTGGAATGAATTTGGTTACTTAATTGTAATTTTAAGTATCGCATGTTGGAAGTAATTTAATTTACTTGGCATTTACTTGTATTATTTTTAAATAATACACTTTGATGAGAATTAATTTCTTAATTGAATCTACTTTCTAGTGTGTAATATGTATGTTATTGTTAGCATACAATAGAAAGTACTTCCGGCGAATTCGTAGTTGTGTACGGTCTAAAACAAGTAACGTGGTTGGTGGTGCCATTTACTTACCCCTCTCGCCTCATACTGGTCTTCGGCATTGAATAAAAAATTATTCAATGATTTCGGTTATTAAATTAGATTTGGATCAAAATTCTATAGGTAACGCATGCTATCAAAAGTAACGTGTCTGCGTTCTTGCTGTTTTAACACAACGCATAAACATTTTTTACGTCTGATCTCACAGAAATTTTACTCACAGGCAATCTAATGAGTACGATTCACTGCTGTAACACAACGAGTCGAACCCAAGAAATGAAACCTTTTCTAAAATACGGCTAATGAGTTATCCGCCGTCAGAAATCTTTGTCGCTATTAAGTGATCGACTCGTCAGCAAAAATTGGATTTGTGAGAGGCGCACAGAATCGACAATATAAATGACATTTGTGCACGAGTGTCTAAATGATGGGGGAAGGAAGGAAGGAATTAATTTTCCACTCTCCATTTCTTTGATCTCTTATCGTGATCGGTTATATATGGAAGGAGGGTACTCAAAATTCATTTATATCGAACGAGTTTTTTTCAAAACGCTACCACTACTACATCGCAATAATATACCGCTGATGTTTAAAATGACTTCAATAAAATATAATAAAAGGTGATACGACACTATATCACCCAAAAAAGAAGGAAAGAAACGTGTAAGGGAATGGTTAATGTAGGAGCATCACAAATTTATTTAATGGCATTTCTATCAGTCTTACTCAATTTTATGATGGGGAAATTAACTTAATTATTCGTATCACTATGTGTGCTCAAAACATTATTTCTTGAAATAAGGTACATAATTGAAATAAATTATCAAAAAATAATTGCTTTTTTTTAAATTTAATTAAGCGCCCATTAGGCCCCAACTAAATAAAATTAAATACAAAAACTCTATTATTTTTGGAACGTTTATTTCAATTACGTTACCCACATTGGGCCATGAAGAAAATTTAGATTTTATGATTTATTGCTTGATTTTTGGTACTTACTCAGTAAAATTATCTTTTTTTCCTTACCATGAATGGCCACATACTACAAAGGAAAAGATAATCGTCTAGTAAAATTTTCCGAAATTCAAGAAAAATAAAAAATGAGCAGTCTAAACGATTATTGTCAGAGAATATGGTATGAATGAATCTACAATAAAAATGTTTGAAAACAGGAGATATGCCTGTTTCGGCGGCAGGAATCTGGCTATGTAACACTAACGTTTTTAAAAACTGGTTTTGCTCCCCGTTACTGTAACATGCTTAGCACCAGTTAAAAATGATGAAATAATTATTCCATATGAGACGTCTAACACTTATCACATTTACTGAAAGACTCTATTCATGTAGAGACTTCCTCGCGTCATATTTTATGAGCTAGCGCAATATGTACTGCATCAAAATGATACAAAATTCATACAAGATTGCGATGCACGTATTTTTATGCATATTTGTTGGGTATATTTTTAGAAAAAAAAACATCTCTACACTTCACCCATAGATATATAAATACATAGATACAGCCATACCCCAACATAGTTCAAAAGGACGTACCATCTATTACCATCACTTTCGGCACATTAATTACGTATAGCGCTATCTTTTATAGAGGTACCCTGAGCATGGAAGACAAGATTCGCATTATTTATTATAACTGTCAATCAAATTGTTAGCACAAATCACACAGAAAATTATCAGATTTGAGACTTTACAACATAAATAAACCGCCTTTTTATTTATTTAAATCGCATAGCAGCAAGAAATGTTACATTTAAAATGGAAGATGTTACTTATAAAGCTGGCAAATGAAGAATTTGAAAAAATTACAGCTGACAACTGGAAGAAAGTGTGTGAACATGTGGAAAGTGATTAATTTAAAAGAGAAGTTATATTTGGTTGATGTTGCTGAACTTTATAATACCTAAGTGTTAATAATGACAGTGATGATAAATTTCATTTGACGATGATTCGGATTGTGAGCTTTTACAAACGTAATGAATGTTCACTAAATGAGTATTATCACCAATTGGATATCATTGTTAAGGTGTTGTATTTATTTTAAATAAATGTACACGTAGTAGCTTACTTACTACAATTAGCACTATAATTTCAAAAAGAAACCCCACCGAATGGACATATGCCGAAAGGTAGGCAAGACGCGTAGCGACCAAAATTTGATATTGCACGCACACACAGTCTAAAAACTCGTTTTCCTAAGAATATTGGACGGATCCTTCTTTGTGATCATGATACAAACGCACTGCATCAACATCATATAGGCCAAAATAATAATTGGAAACGAATTCACTTCCTGTCGCAACAATTTCCTTTACCATTACGCCTAAAACCATGCAATTAAAATTAAAATGTTGAACATAAACTTTACTTACTTACGGTTTTTTTGATATTCTGCAAGCCAGCAATGAATTCAATGCAGCACATCATGCCAAACAGGGTAAACATTATCCCAAATTTGAATGGCGTAGTTCGATGTAATAAAACTATTTCAGGAATAACAATTATGGACGCGTCTATCATTATGGCAAGCACTAATGTTATTCGTATTCAATTGATAACGCAATAATTACATAATATTTAGTGAAAAAACCGCCCATCATGTTTAGGGCGAATATTTTTAGTTAGATTGGATTTCGCGCTATCGTGAAATGGGTCAACTGTCACATGACTTATGGGACGCGCTAAGTTTGTTTCAAGCGTCCGATTCGCGTACGACATAGTGGTTAATGCAATAAAAAGAGATAGAACATGTTTCATCTTGGTTAGAAAGTAATGGAGAGATGTACAAATTTCTTTGATATGTTTTTTAAAAACCGAGGTACGTTTGTTAAGGATGGCTGTATCTAGGTATTTATATATCTATGACTTCACCACGATTCGTACGCTCTTCAGCGGCAAACCTAGAAACTACTTTCCAGAGATTTCTTATTCTTAGTCAGGGGCGGACTGGGTACCTACGGGCCAGGTGGAATTGCAAAGGTTAAAGTATTAGTGTAATGAGGATTGGGAGGGGGGGGGAGCTTTGCGGTGCACCACAAAAACATTTTGTGCTTCAGCTTTCTCGAAAATCAATTAAAATATAGTTTTTTTTAATTGCAGCTGATAATTAAAAGTAACAAAATATATATAATCCAAACCAGGCGCGTCGCCTATAATAATAATGCGACAAAAAATGATAAAATTCCTTGTAAAACACTTAAATAAAAACAATCTAACATCAACCCTGATGAGAGAAACGGTTAATAATTTATTAATATTACAAGAAACTAAATACAGCACATACTTATAATATAACTTTCCAACGGGCCATGGCCAACAGACCAGGTGGCAATCGCCACCCGCCCCCCCCCCCCGCCCCCCCCGGGCCAGTCCGCCGCTGTTCTTAGTCACTTTTGTGATCTTTAGACATACAAGGGAAACGATAGTTGCTATACACATTGTTTAATACCACAATTTACAACATTGTTCTGACAAAGTAAAGGGCACACACTTCTAATATCTTTCATTTTGTGTTTGTAGTTCAACAATCTTTTTATGGAGCTTCACAATCTGCAAAAGAAGTACTCTTGAAGGTGCTTTGCTTTGGAGACCGGGCAATACTTACACTTTCTATTTGCTTCCCTGCAATTTCTTGATCAGTACGCGGCGACTTCGACTGTTCCGCTTGCGTTTGAAGGTATCTCATTTGGTTTACAACGTCATCTATTAATTCTTGTATATTCACTCTCTTCGCATGACGCCTCATTTTTCTTATACGCTTAGTTTTCTGTACCAAGGCGTCAATTTGCTCGTTCAAATCTTGTCGCGTGAGCATTCTTTGGTATTCCGGGTCAGTGTCGAAGGGTGGTTCTGACAGATCATTCAAATTTACTTCTCTAACCGGTTCCAACTTTTTCTTCAGCCTCCATTTGCTCAACGCCTTTAAATTTCTGAAATTTTAGTGAAGACGATCGATGTCATCGTGTGAACTTCCTTACCGTTCCTGTTGAAGTATTTTTTCCTGATCGGCTAAGATATCCTTTAATCGCTTCAGCCATATCTCCTTCATTTCACCCTCTTGGGCGCGTTCGATTTTCCGTTTATTGTTCCATGTTGAATGAGATTGTAGAGATATCTTTGAGCAACCCCTTGTTATCTTGTGCGTTCTTTTAACGACATTAGTTACGGTGTTCTTTTGATTAGTCTCATTCTCCGTTAATCTCTTTACGTCGATTACTGGCATGAATTTCACCTCTCGTTGCGATTGTCTCTCATTGTCCACGGAGACCTTATACTCCTTGTCAGAGCTAATTTCACTTTTCGAGGACGCATTTGATATCGCATCAATTTTTGCATCGGCATCCGATTGCGCGCGAGTTAAAAAATACTGTTCCCTAAGAAAGTTAGATATAGCCACGATGCCTTTATCGGTAACCTCATGAGGTGGATATGTGAGTGGATTTCCCGATACTTGCAGCACCTTTAAATTTGGAATTGCACCTGAAAAATGTAATTAATAAACCTCGATAATTGAAGTCACTTACCCAATTCGTTTGGCAGTTTTTGGATTAAGTTATTTTGTAGCAGGATCGTTTCTAAATTAGCGTGATCGGCCATTCCGCTCGGTAGCGCCGTAAGTTTGTTCTTCCTCAAATCGATCCATGTAAGTTTAGGTAGCTTTGCGAAAAAATCGTCAGGAAGATTAAACAACTCGTTATTTTCCAAGTACAGCATTTTCAAGTTGCACATTTGCATAATGCTCTCCGGCACTTTTTCTAATTTTTTGTTAGCCTGATCGGAAATTACCTCAATTAGCGACATTTTAGAAATTTTGAGTTTGACATGTAATAATGATGTGGATGCAACTTTGTTTGTTACCATGACATGACATCCATAAATCGCATTATTGATTTTAAGTACGAGAAGTTATAGTAGGGGAGCTAGCTCGAAATCCACTTCGTTATCAAAATTTTAACCGATGGAGTTCTACTTTGGCCTATCTGAGTAAGTTAAAATCGACCGTCTGCCGCCTCAGGTCATATGACTTGCGGCACCAATTCTAAATGGTTGTTTTTTGAGAAAATAAGTTACACGCCAAATGAAAACGTTGATAATGGTTCTTAAAATAGTTATTTGTATACTTAGGCCGCGAAGTCATTCTTTAACGTACCGAAAAGAAGATTGGCGCCGAGGCCGCTTGCGGCCGAGGCAAGGCAACTTTGAGGGCGTTAAAGAATGACGCGGCCGTGGTATACACAACATTTTTTGTGCAATTGTGTAGAATCGTCAATAAATAAAAATGAGATTTCAAAAATAATAATTTTCGTCGCAAATAGAAAGACGGCCAATTTTCATTTTACCATGGAAATGAGATAAACAATGAATAATTTTTCGTGAAAGAAAAGTCAAAATGTGTGACTCCGAAAGTGATTCTTCGATATCCGGAACTCCTCCGGAAATAAAACTTGTTGCGAATTCTGCTGTGTTGCAGTTATGAGTTAGTACCTGAAAAATCGAAGCGGCAGTACGAAAAATGCTACAAGGACTTCAAGTGTACCTGTCAGTTTGAGTTCTAATGAAAATCAAAATGTTACAGTTTCAAAGTATAACCGCTTCTAACACTTTACACTTTATTTCAGGAGTAAGTATAAGTAACAATACGAACTGTTCGCTTAATATTAACATTTATCCAAAAGATTTGTAATTACCTACATGCTGATTGTCAAAATATATGTGACATTGTCTTACTTTAACGGCCGTCGCTATGACAGCGGCCGCGAAAGTGAATTTCGCGGCCGCCATGGCGAACGCGAAGTTGTTGTTTCGCGTCCAATTGCACAAAAAAATATTTAACAATTAACAAAAAAACATTTGATAACTCTGTAAAAAATAATTCTCTTGAAGAATATTAATTTTATTCTCTACGGCACTGGTAAAAATTGTACTGTAACAATTAATTTTTGGCAATGAAATAATTAATACCACGGCTAGCTCGGTAATAAATAAACTTTTAATTTCTCTTACAAAAAATAAATAAACTTACCTTTATCGATTGGTTGAAATTTTCTGCAATTGTCATTTTTCTTTTGGAAGGTCGCAGCAATTTGAAATTGGGGGGTGGCACGCGTTGGGCAATACGATCGGACCTCTTGTTTACCAGTTGAATTAGGTTACTGGTTGAAAATTAATTTCGAAACATGGTTGACGCAATTTCTTTCTGGAGAAACCGTGCTTGAGACTTACTATGATTTCCTTAGTTGAACTTTGAGTTCTTCACAGTAATAGCTTACCGATGTTGCAGTGTGCAATTATCAAAAATGTACCCTTATAACTTAGACTTTTACACCAAACAGAAGCTTGAATTAATTGTCTTTAACCTTCTTACCGGTAGTCGTTTTGTTCATAATGTTGTTCGCACTGCATATAAACAGTTTAGGCGCACGAATTTGATTAATAGACTACCTTTTTAATCATAACTAGTCACTCTAAAAACAGCGCAATTGACCGTTTTGCACCTGGGACCCCAACACTTTCGTATCGAACGAAATTTTGTTTGTGGACCATTTTTTTTTTAATTTTAACAAGCTGTAAAGGAAAAGTAAACTGAAGATTTTTGGAAATTTTATTATTGAAGTTGGACACGGTTAGTGAGTACAGTTTTAAAACAAATATATACATCTTACAATTTTCCAACAGGTAGGTAGGTAAATGGTGCGGCCAATGTGAGACACCAAGGTTTCTTTATCGACTTAAAAATATGTTAACAGGTTTAATTTCTCAATCACGGTTGCTGTAGCACTAGTGCGTACACCGACGACATTACTTAATTATTATTAAATAATACTATAATTTATTAAATTGGTCGTGTGCATATAACAATTCGAAATTGTTTTGTACATATCCTTCATTTAAGTCTATTGGTAAGGGAAATAAATAAATAAATTTAGGCTGCCAATATTACTAACTTACAATCCAATTTCGAAACAGTCTTTGGAATGATGTGATTGCTTAACATTTAACAGTTAAAACTAATCCTAAACTCGCAAGCCCTATTAGGTAGTATTAACATTTATTAAATATTTAATCAATTCCTTTAATAAATTATATATGAATTTAGCTTCAACATTAACCATAATCCAGCAAAGTAACGCAGTTTGATGAAATCTCACTGGATAATTAAAACCAGTTAATATAATAACAAGCCGTAAATTTTGATCTGTCAAAATGAAAATATACGCATTTTAATGGCTGGTGCTTAAGGTATCAAAGGACGTGCTCATTTCAGTCACAACAATTCTAACATTTACAAAAATAGGGAACTTATTTCAACTAGAACATTTTTTTTTTCAATTTTTAATTTTATAGGAAGGGCATTATTTTCGCACAAACAGAGGCCTGCTACTCGATGTGATGTAGAAGTTTCTTTTTGGATACAGTGAGCTTCTTGGAGTGAACTTCTCGACGTTTTCGCTGATTGTATAAATCGACGATATCTTTATCCCGCAACGATCGGGTACGATTTGAAAATTGGGACCGACCGGCTCATCCAAGCTGCAGGTCGACGAGCCCAAATTTAACAATAGAGGCCTTTTTTGCGAATCGGATCTAAATGTTTTGTTAAAAAAATTAGTTACGTGCTTTGGGGTAGAAAGTTTGATCGATAGAGGCCGTTTGGTTGAGGAAAATGGCGCTTTACATTGTAAATACTTATACTCGTTCTGATACTGAGCGTTTGATAAAGCGAATATGTTATTTATGTTATTTAGGTTATTCTGTTTTGGTAAATATACGTAGTTATTTTTCGACAGGTTATTGTTGTTTATATTGTTGTAGTAGTATTGGGCAAATTTCCCGTTGTTTAAATTTTTTCTATTTCCAAACGTGTACCACGTCGTTGTATTGTTCTTCTGCGATGAGTTCTTGGAATAATGGTAGTAAATTTTATTTAAGGTTGATTGTAAGGGCTTCGTGCTTGATTTCACACAAGTACACGCTTGATTTACTTGACAACCAACTTCGGTACGTCGTCACACCTCCTGCAGAAACTTGACAGGACAAACTCCTTGACGATTATCACCAGAACGGATCATCACCATTCCATCGATTTCCTCACCTATTTGAATTACTATTTGGTCCCTCAGCAACATTAATCCATTTTCCCCATCCGACAGTTGCAAATTGTGTGTAACCTACAAAACGAAGGCCATCAATGAACAACCCCAATTCAATTTTTACATTGGTCGAATAGAATAACTCGGATTTCAAAGTTGAAGATCAAATATTAGCGGCGTATTTGAAATTTAAATGTATGGAAATACAAGCGTGTGAATATTTATGATTGTTAAATATGCTTTTTCTGAAAAATGATTTCAAATTAGGGTATCCACTTTATTAAAATATTCTTTTGTTTTCTGCGCTTAAGGGTCGATACGTATAATGCCAAAAATATTTATTCAAATTATTTAACTCCATACATTTGCAAAAGTGCTCTTGCAGTTTTAATTAAATATACGAACACAGCATAACGAGTAATAGAGATCGAGTAGGTACAGATTTGAAACGTGTGGATTTTCTTAAAATTAGGTTGGGATTATGCTATAGAATTGTACAATTGTACATGGTGCATAGGAATTCATATCAAATTTCGCAGCATGAAAATGTTTTTAAATCTTAATCCCCTTTTTAGCGCATTTTCCAACGATGCTGGGTGCGCTATTGCAGCTACTTTCTCTGTCCATTCGTCTGTCCGTCTGTCCGTCTGTCCGAGGCCTTAACTACTCCTAGAGTTTTCAAAATATTAAGTTCGTTCTTTTTGCATTCGGTAGAGTATTGCTTTCATGCACAAAATTTTCATTTAATACATAAACACATACCATATTTCTTCTTCCATTCCTTTTTTTCGCAGTATATTTTCAATTCCTTCCATCGTTTCCTTCATTTGTTTGTCCTGTTTCCATTATTAAGTGACAGAGTAAAGCGAAACAAGGTTTTTAGGATAGTATATGGTGGTTGTTTGCTTGCGAACACGATAATTGACAATCACTTGAACTTTGAAGCAATTCGGTTCAAACTTTGTACAGTTGACCCATATGCCACATACAGTGATATTTATTAAGAAGTAGATATAGAGATATTGTATTGTTTTTCCCTATGTCTAAGACCGAATCTCTTCTGAAGGGCGCCTAATTATAGGCATCCAAAACTTAAAACAAATAAACATCTGGTTGTCATATTAATTAGTTTGAAAATTGTTGCTTTGGCTTAACAGAAAATAAATCTCTTACGCCCTTGAAACTGTCACCGGCACTATACCAATTGACAAGTTAATTTGGTTGCACAAAATTAGCCGCCCTTCAGAAGAGATCTTTCATTTAAAAGTAGACAGGAAAAAACAATACACATAAATCCCTATGTCTACTTCTCAATAAATAGCACTGTATTTGAGTCAAAACCAGTGACCTCGTCGAGTCACACCACTCTGCCACTTTTCTAGATCCGCCTTACACGCGGTGTATTATTGTATTATCTCTGCGCATGAGATCACATTTTCCTACAAAAATTCATCCACTATGACCATAATAATTTTTTCTGTCTTTTGTACATAAAGGCAAAGAATTCGGCAAAAAAAACACTTTGGGGGTTTCTTTGAAACATGACAAAAAATAGCTATAGCGTGGTTCTCGCTCAGACGGAGTACCGGAAAAATTCCCGGGAGAAAGTGAGGGGCTTCTTTCCGAAAACTATCTTATTGTTTCCACCTGTTTGAGCCAATCAGTTGTACCTTCACGACATCCAGCCGCCATCTTGTTATCTCTGATATGATCTACGTCCATTTATGTTTTGAATCGAAATTAATGAAACAAACTTTGCACTGTGTAGTTTTGTCTCTCGTCGGAATTCGTTTAACAAGTATTATTTACTCAAAGTCAATTTCTGTTGTTTATCTAATTTCATTACTCGAGATCTTTTATTTGTTTATTTGCCGTAAATTTATTCTGAATTACAGTACTACTACTCTGGTCTATTTCCAAGTTTAATGTGTTTTCAGGTATATCTGAGTTGAATGCAGATGCCTAAGCACTGCTCCTTTTTTACTCCTTAGGGCATCTTTTAATTTATTTAAAATGAAAGATTTCACGTAAGTGTACGATTGGGAACAGCAGCATCGACATTTCAAATGTGTACCTATATCGATGTATGGGACATTCTGTGATTTACGCCGTATAGGGAATATAGACTTACCTGCAGCGCTTTTTCTCCCGCCGCCAACTTGGAGCAATACTTCGATGGAAAATAACCAACCCTTCCCAAACATTTGCCTTTCCACCAATCTGGATCCGCAAAATCTATCACAGTCACCTTATCACCCGCCTTGAGATCCAACTCGTCTTGGTGGCGCGACTTAAAATTATAAAGGACTACGTAGAGGTTCGTCGGTAACAAACGATGCGTTTTCTTAAACGACACATTTTAAAGTGCACAATTTAACTTGGTTATTTTTAAGGTACCTTCACACCAACGGGACTGGGGCACGGCGACGTGCTCGCCGAAGACGGGCTCTTGTCGTTGTCGTCTGGAAGCTCAACCGATGACATTCTTATATTCTTGGCGGAGAGTAATCGACGATTGTGAACTGGGCTAGATGGAGCTAAATAAGAATTGGCAATTGTCAACCCCAATGTAGTAAAAAGCGTATTAAGAATAAGACAAAAAAAACTCTGTATAGATGCGTACTTGATCGTGCTTTAACAGAACCCCGTGCAATTGAGTTGTATGGAGGTCTTGAACGAGCTGGAACTAAAAGAACAAAAAGAAACGTGCAATATTAATCATTAGTATTTGTTGAAAAGCAAGTACGCAGTGTTAATAGGGAGACATTAAAAGCACAAACAAGCCAAGTATATTAGGAGTGCAAGCAATATATTCCACGTCCATCTCCTGTGTTCGTGCATAAAGCCATTTCAGTGCGAAAAAACACCTAAACACATTCACTTCCTACACTGAATTCTGGAAGAAGAGCTTTCTTTGGAGTGGGGCTCACTAGTTGTCGCAGTGCCATGGTGTCTCCTCCTCTGCACGTGCTCTGTGCTTTCTGGCGAGTCCAGGGAGAGGCTTTTCATGCGCAGGTTTAGCTTCTGCCGACGTGGGGAGTGGGGAGCTGACGAGAAATGCGATTATTTTTAACTTTCTTAGCAATACTTTATTTATTCAAACAAAATACAGCGAAAACACTACACAACGAAAAATGCACACTGAGGATAACAAACATGCTGGATTAACTGTTGTGGTGCACTTCGCTTTCAAAAAGTGAATGTGCCACGTTTCGGTGTTGCTCTAAATTACTACCATCTATTAGGGAACTACTGCACTTGTCTAAGATACAGACCGAAAGATTTCGTCCCATTTTCAAGGGAAAACGTCACAGCAGTGGGAGAAGTCCGCATGCTTGTTCCTGATAAAACAAGACAATTTTACTAGGTTTACACGATTAGAATTTCTTGAAGGACTACGGATCGATTTATATCAAAAATAAATCGATTAGCAACTTTCTTTCTAAGCACTACCACGCGTGTAAACTTAGCAAAGTTGGAAAGACATACGAAAGTGTAAACAAAGTAAAAGGAAGAGTGTTATGGGAGTTTCAAAATTCTGGGGGATCTCATCACTACAATTTTAGTTATTGAAGCTACACGCCGCCAAACCTTAGTTTCAAACCAATATCACTTACGCGTTGCCTTTTTATCAAGCGCGCAATACGAAAAGACCTTTTTTGTCGCGGTTTATGTAGATAAAAAGAAACACTTTTAATCGAAGTACGTACAGGAAAATTGAGTATACCTAAATGTCTTTACAATTAATAGTCTTTACGTAAATAAAACTAAGTCACTTGTCGAAATGAATTTTACTTTTTATATTTAGTTCCTTTCTTTAAGCTATTTTTTCCTTTAGATGGTGAAGGTGAAGGGGGTGTTGGGAGTTTATCGCGACCATTTTCTTGTTCAGTTACCGATAGCAAACATAGAGGTTCTCCAAAAGGTCGGGTACCGGAAGCGTCTTGTGAACCTCGCTCTGAAATTATCATTGTTCTCAGTTGGGGAAATAGGGATAAAGAAAACAAAATAAAAATGCCTTACGCCTAATTAGCACCTCGTTTACGTCACAACCAGTTGAAGTAAACGAAGCTTTTTGAAAACACCACACGTACAAAAATTTGTTGTTTCACTCGGTCGCTCCCATCTCTCTGCACAGAACTTTTCCACCAATAATCGCTAGTATGTAAATAAATGATTATAAATACTTTAGCGTTAAAAGGAGACAAGCAATAATAAGGAAGTTTAAAAACATAAGTTGCAAATAAACGAGCGATCGAGTTAAACAAAAAATATCTACCATCCACAATCTACCGAAGCCAGTAATGCGAAAGTTTGCGAGCTTAGTGAGAAGATGGGCATACCAGTATCTTTCAACATGCAATTACTATTCCATGTGCGTTCATTAATATGTTAGATGGTAGATGAAATGCTTCATGCAATTACAACTTAAACTAAGAGTTCTGCGCTGAAATGATAATGATTATAAGATCATAGTTTCTCTTCTACGGTACAATGATAAGTGAAGAAGAAAATGACGGCCACTAATCAATAATCATGTATTCTAAGAGCATAGATAAAATGAGTTGCTGTTTTAAATACATTGTCATCGTTTCATCGCAATTTGCGCGTATGAGCTTCCATAAAAAATTTGGTGGTGGAGATGCATTCGTTTCCTGGCTCTTGGCCATGTGGAAGAAGTATGTTATTTTGACCTGCTATCCCCACCATACACTATGCATTCCGGCGAATTTTAACTAGTAAGCTTGTATTCTCTCTTGGTAGTACAAGTGACTGCTATGAAGAGTTGTGGATACCGATCCTGTACAAAATTACCGTTCCAGTTGAAGAATCACTGTCGAGTTCTCTGGAATCTAATCTCTGATGGTCGTAAGGAATAGCCACGCTTTTTTCAGGATGAGATTAAGCTTTGTGATCTCCTTCTAAAGATAATGACTCGCATTCCGTATTTATTGAGATTATGAAAAGCCAAAGTAACTACTGGGTCAATGCAATTGAAAGTTAAAACGTTGGATATAACCACCTCCTAAATATAGGGTATCAAGTCACTGTTTTTTTACCGTTTATAATCTTAAAAAAATCTAAAGAAAAACTGTAGAAGTATTGTAGGGCATCATATACTTATTAGCAGTTGCATTTCAAAAGCGTCGCTAAACGATCTAGTGAGTTTTAAGGCCATAAGAAAAATAAGATTCAATGTCCCCTCATGAGATCAATCTTTTTGAACAACTTGGAGGACAAATTAGGTGCTGCAGCAGGTGTGGCTCTTTGCTTCGATTTATATAGTAACATCACCCGTCAAAGACAAGTTTCATGGTTCGTAATCATAGCATTTAACTACAGGCTCACATAAAACAGAAACTCATCATAATTTTTACCGCATCAGGAATCTACCTAGCCTCAGTTAGAATTTAAGCAGTTATCGTTCATTGTTAACGTTTACTGCGCCATCGACGATGAAGAACCAACAACTTATATTAATACTATAAATAGTCATAGTTAAACCCTTCAACGTTCGAGATATCGGTATGGGAAAAATTAAAAAAAAATAGGGAGTTAGCATTAAGCTCCGTTCACACGTCTTTTATGAATCGTGATAATTACGGTACGTGATAAAAGGATGTGATGTTCACATGTACTTCGTATCATCGTGAATCATGAGTAATAACGATACATCTAAAGACGAGTTTATGCTCAGAAAAAATAAAAATAAAAAAACCTGGATTCAATGGATTTCATTTACATATCTTCACAATTCAAAAATCGGATTGCGCAAGCGCAAAATACATGTTTTGATTCGGCATTAGTTGTTCTTTTTACTAGAGGTGCCTACATTCAAAATTTCATGCAATTCGGTTCGTAACTAACGGAGAGATGTCAAAAGAGCCTTTCTAATTTTTTGGCCTGCATTGTCAATTCACGAACTCCGATCTACAAATTTCACTTACAAAATGTTATCGTAATCGGTCCATCCGTTCACTTTCAAATTTTTGGGAAACACATTTAAGAGGGTCGTTCCTCTTGGTACAGCATAGATCTTCACGCTTTTCGATTTTGCTTTTCACGAAAGGTTTACGGTTGTTAGTTCCTTTATGCAAATTTCGCAAATTAAATGTAATTAGTATTATCATTGAATAAGGCTTATTCAATGGTATTGTTATACCTCGACTGGACTCGCAAACCCGTTTTGTAATGGTAGCTCTAAACTTGGATTCATTGATTCAAATTGTATGGAGGTAGGTAAAGTTGGGATTTTTTTTGTGGTTTGGGCATTACATGTCATATAGAATCTACAGAGGGTCGAACTTTCCAATAAATTGTATTTGGTGGAATTCTAAAAGTTCCGTCCAGCGTTATCTTAATTAAGGCTACAGGACTAAATTTGCGAATTAAGCATTAGGTCATCTTTATATCGTGGCCAAATGTGCAGAAAATCCAACGAGTTATTACATTTCGAGGGATACGGCCAATTAGATTTGCTCTTAACAAAAAATAAAATGGTTTACTTCATTACTATAAGCCACCCTGAAAAGAACCGTTCATTAATCAGTAAAAAATTAAGTAAGGGGTATTCCGGGAAATTTGAGATTTTTAATAATAATAATAATGCCTTTATTGAGCTACATCTTACACGAAAAAAAATTTGTTTTTATTACCAACTACTCACTACTCAAAGGGCGGAGTTCAGATTGTAATAAAAATTAATTCGCGGTTGAGCCAACGCCCGGTACCATCAGCGGGTTGCCCATAGAACGATTTTGCATTCGTTCGGGTCTGGATTACTAGAGCAAGCAGTGTCTAGTTAAAAAGTAAATTTGTTCTCTGAGGATTCTTGGCGGGGAATTAATCTGGGAAAATTTTGGGAAAAAACCCGGCCCTTTAATCTCGGGGAGGGGGGGGGGGTCAATTTTGCAGTTACAAAGAAAAGTTAAAAAATTATTTGGCTTTGGATAACGGGTTTGTTAACCGTGCAGCTAAAAGTAAACAGAGATTGGGGTTCCAGGTTAAATATAGTTACAACAAGTTACGCGGAAAAAATTCCTGTGCGTATCCGCGACCCAGTTGGATAAATTAAGACACAGAAGCGAGTTAATTGAATGTGTTAGTTTACTACACTACAAGGATCACTGTTGTGTAATCGGGCGAATTAATGGGTATGGTGAAATACGCACGTTTTAAACAACCGTATATCGACCAAGGACAAACCAATTTAGCGCGCCAGTATATTTTGTTTGCCATAAAAGGCTATGATTACAAAATTCAAAGTGTGAAGTAAAACAAAAAAAAGAGGGAACTGACCTGTGTATTTGAAGAGGGGGGGGGGGAGGTAGCCCAGGGAGCGTTTCTAGATATAGAGGGTGCGTATAACAACATCACGTTTGATTCAATTCGTAAGGCTGCTGAAGGCTTTGTCAGTGATGGGTCAATGGTAAGATGCATCCGAGTCATGCTTGGAAGCAGTCATTATATCTTCAATCGGGATGGCGGAGATGAGCTTCTCGACTACTATCCACAGGGTGGGGTGTTGCCCCCATTGCCTGGTACTAGATGGCCGAGGACGGAGCGTATACCCAGTGATACGGCGGACGATAGGTGGTGACGAATATAAGGAGAGAATGCACCTTGACGGGCTCACTATTCGTTGACGTCAACTCGGTCTGACCAGGTCAGTGAAATAATTGGGAGTCGTCATAGACTCCCGCCTGAAAGAATAAGCAAAAGCATGCCTATGCCTGGAAGTCGCTGGAGCCATAAAAATCTTGCTTGCTTACAATCTAAACACATCAGTGCATCGTTTGAAAAAACTAAATCCAAAGAACAATTGATTCGCCTCACAATTTAATGTAATGTCATGTCCCGACGGGAAGTTCAAATCTGCAGCTCCATTTCTTTGAGTTTCCCGAAATATTATCGATATAAGGAAGGCCGACTGAGCTTATTTCATGTGTTGTGATATTCGTTTATTTATTTAAAAATTTAACTACTAAATCTATCGAAAGAAAATTGAATCAGTCTTTTCTTAAAGAGATAAACCTCTGATGACCTGAAGCCGTTTGTACGCTATGTATTTTTACCATTTATGATTTCATTAGAGTTAAATTTGATGGAAAAATACAAGTAATCAATCTAGTGATATCATCAGGTCATCATTACTACTTATAAGGGCAATTTCAGTACGATGACTACTGGTATTTTGGAATTTATTCGATTCATCTTGCTCAGAAACTCCAGTCTTATTTGACAGACCACAAAACAAGTACATAACGATCCACCGGTCCAAATAAACCCGGGGACACGACTTGATGTACTGACTCAATTTTACCTGCCGTGCATAGTTAATTAATTCCGTACACAGAGAAGTAAAAATCCCCAAACGGTCCCAAAAATTTCGGAATTTCCATTTCCTCTTCAATCTTTTCTTAATAAACTTTTGAAGGGGAAATAGGGCATTATTTCCACTACATAGCTCGTTAGCTAGTGAGAAATTAGGTGTCAGAGATTTCCACATTTTGTTGTCGGGACAAGAATGTTTTCAATTCTTACAAATTTAATCCAGATTTGCTATGTTCATGTTCGGAAATCACCAGACACCAAAGTTCTCCAACAAAACTTTTTTTAACCACCTTAGGGTGGGAATTTTTACAAAATTAATCGGAAAGAGCACACTAAACTTGCTAAAAAAATAAAAAAAGAGACATAGTTTACTAATTGACCCATTTTGGAGCTTTGGTTTACTTAGAATCAAATGTTTTGCTTTGGTCCCGTCTATCGAACAACATATTTACTTTCACGTACAGCCTGTATATTCAGGCGATATTTATTGTACGAAGAAGGAGAATAGGTTTATAATAGAGATATGAATAAATGAGAAACGTGCTAAGCGTTGGCTTGGTAGTACAAGTTTATTTGTCTTTGTTTCTATTTTCAAGAGGAATGGTGTTAAAGTTAATGGAACGTTTTGTAATATATTTTGCTATAGCCTGTTTTTTTAATTAATTAAACATCTGCTTCAAGAGCCAAGTTTTGTAGCACAACATTGGTACATGTATTAAACATTTTGAGATCCTTACTGAGAAACGTAATTTCATTTGATATAAAAGCATAGAAAACCGAACATTGTGATTGATTTCGTCCGTCTGTCCGTTTTGGAATTTTTAAGTACTTCTCTCCTTGAACGGTTGTCCTCTACCTGTTGTCTGCATACGTGGTGAATGAAATGTATGACACGTTTCGTTGCAACGAAAGTTGCATAGAAAGTTTTGAAAAAATGTTCAGGATAAACCTATTGCGATGCAATAAAGGCAAAGAATGGGGATGGTGATATTGTTGCTAATGAATTCGCTACGGCAGTGATGCTAAATCTAACCATAAACATTGCCCAATGCCCAGTCGATGCATATGTATCTACGGAGCTGAGACAACAAAGCTGAATATACATACCGCATAACACATAACAAGCAATTTTTGAAGTAATTCGTTAACAACACAACACATAAAAGAACACAAAAACCGCGTACTTTCTGGCAGAGAGATGGAACGATGGCCCGGAGAACCGTGCCTCGAACGTGATCCAAATCCAGTCAGACTTTTCATTCCTGCAAAAAGTCTTCTTCTCATCGAAGTGCTATCTGCAGTACTTGGTCCTTGAACACGTTCAATATAACCACGTCTTCGATCTAAATTTATTATTAGCATTTCAAAAAATTGTGAATGTGACTTTCTGATGTAATTCACGTTTAAGTATTTTTAAGCTTATTCCGTGTCATATGTCCAGTTACCTAAATAAGGTTTTCGATAACCAGCCTCGAGGGTTATTGTCAGTTCGCTATTAGTTAAAACTCGTTAAAATGATGTGGTGATAGCGCGAGGCGTCAAATGCACGTGCCAACAAACGTTACTTACCTTTCCGTGGGTAACCTTTAATTTATATTAGATTTTAAGAACTCCCCCAGAGTGGACTAAGGATATATGGGATATTAAAGGATCGTGAGCAAATACTTTCATGCAAAGTACAAGAACTACTACAAGAACAAGTGTATCTAGAGAATGTTGAAGTATGGCTAAATACTTCCTAGCCTTAAAGTGAGAAGTTAACTTTATATTCGTCGCGCTTTCTTATTCAATGACATGCGGCCACTAAGAATGTGTACGAATGTAAAGTTAGTGCGAAGAAAAACAAATTTAATATTGAGGTTTGGGGAACAAACCTGAGCTAGTAGAGCAAGGAGCAGGATTATTAACAGTTAGGCTAGACCCCTGTGCTCGTTGGGATTGAGGTGGCGGGCACCCTTTGCGGTTCAAACTTTGACCGGAACTCCCCGAACTACCGGGAGCCGATCCTGGCAAGCCCCTGTCCACAGTTATCCCTATCGGGGGAACTGGTTCCAAATTTACACGAGGTTTGTTATTGGATATTTCCCCGGCTTGTTTTAATACTTGGTATATCTGATCCACTTCCGATCCTTCTGGGAAATCGAATCTGTTATACTTTCGTTTTATTTCCACAATTTTAAGTACATTTCAGCGTCATGCCCTAATTACTTCAATTAAAGAACTGCAAAGATTCGAGTTACTTCTGTTAGTTAAAAACAAATTCAAAACTAAACGATTCAAATACAGCAAGAAGCGCCGATGACTTTCTAATGAAAAGAGAAGTATATTGTCATGAGAAATTAGTAAGGAAACACACAATTACTACCAGACAACTTTGAATATACCTATAGGATTTTCAAGGGAAGGTTTCATAACGCTGTTATCCTTGAATGAAAGCTGACGGTTTATTGTTGCCATCCGCGTATAGGGTTCGTCCTCGACACCTTAATTTTTGAGAAACTTTTAAGAGAGTAACAAGTGACAGATACATAGAATAGAATTACTGACACAGGCTTTGTTTTCTACTAGTTACGGTTTGAAAGAGAAATGAAAATGCACATATCGCTAGTATACTTACTTTCTTCCTCAACCGTAGACTCCGCCACACGTGACTCAATTTCGGAAGTAGATTTTTGCCTCCTCAAGAGACGCGATTTCGGTTGACACTTTGGAGCTTTATCTTGGCAATCGACGTGAACGTTCATCTTACAATATCGACATTTCAATCCCTGCCGCGTGTGTCCTGAAATACGATTACGTAACATAATTAAACAGTATTCTGCCTACCTCTCAATATCTGCGAGCAAATATCGCACGGTGTAATTTTCTTGTAGGTGTACTCTTGGAAAACGTGGGCGTCCGGATCTGACCTCGGAACTTCGCGGTTCGACGCCGAGCCATTTTTTCTAAACGAAACATAAGTATTTTAATGGGTGAACTTCGAAATGGCCACCTAATAGAAATGGGATAAGGGTACGATCTAAACTTACTATTGTATTATTTACTCTAAAGGGTTCTCTAGCTTTATGTACGCGACATCACAATTTCCTCAATGTCTAGATATAGTTTTATGGGGGTTTTATTGCCTCGTATAAAAGCAATTGGAAACTTACGTATAGTATATGGTTTTATTCAATATATTTTCATTTCGTTGCAAAACGACACATTGCGTGCAACTTTATTGCTCGGAATTAACACTGAGATATCAATGTTCAAAGTAACCCATCTTTAACAGCAGCTGATGGCAATTGTGCAGCCGAGAAAAGTTTGGGACGACCAACTAGATATTTACTGTATTTACCCACCTTTAGATGTTAATGCCATAAAATTTAAATTTGGATAGTTAACCCAATCACATTTAGGTTTCCAAGTAAAATGTTTTCAGAAATAAAACGTCTTTCTGAAGTCCTGCACATGAATGATGCAATCACCTACGAAGTAAGATCTGCACCATTTCAATATAATGATAATAATGGGTTAATTAAAACAAAATTCCACTAATATGACTGAGAGACGCATTGAAATAAATTGCCTTACCAGAATCGGCTCTAACAGAGGATATTCGTTAAAAGGCAAGACAAGAAAGTCATTATTTGTTCAACTGCTCACTATTCAGATTGCAGGACTACAGCGACAGATTCGACAATCTGCTTGAGCTAGATTAAGGAGTCAAAAATGTGTACTTCCCCGCTTCAAAAAACCCGAAATACATCCGGTTCGTTAGGTCCGATTTTTTGTAGTGCGTCAAATTGTATTATTATAAAGTGGAAATTTTTTTTGGTTGTTACTTGAATTTATTTTCCAAACAAATATTGCTCGTGATGTAATGCAAAGTATTTGACTTGTTGATTGTTGGAAGATGAACGATTACGTCATTGAACGCAATTGTTCTGTAGATGGCTCCAGAAGGTTTCAGCGTCTTAAAGTCTAGGGTATACCTCAAATTACGCCCCCTTTAGAAGCAATATAAGGTTTCATTTCTGAATAAGCAAGTGATAAACCACTAACTCAAGAAATGCTTACCTTGAATTTCTTGAATGATTAACAGTCGTTTTAGTCCAGGCAACGAAGTCCAAAAAAGGGTGAATAGAGGAAAAATCATGTAGAAGCCAATTTTGGCACAGATGTAGGGGAAGGTATCCTGAACAACATACTAAAAGTACTGAGGGGTGGGGTGTGAGCTAAAGGAGAGGGGAGGAGTTAGTCTCTTTATTATTATTAAAATGATACTGACTTTTCGATCCAAATTGTGGCTGGTGATGAGATTTAGACGAACCAAAAACTAAATTTGAATCCAGACAATGGATCCACAATTATTCTCCTCCTCTAAAAAAAGGTACGCACCCTGGGAAGCTGATGGCGACGGTTTTGTTGGGATATGATACGTGATTTCCTAATCGAATACATGAAAAAAGGGACTAATTACTAATATAAGTTCAGAGGCAAAACCATTGACGATAAACGGCCCTCTCAGATGAATCGGAAAATGTTTCTGCTGCATGACAATGCAACTGTGCAACAAGGCTGCTAATTCTCAGAGATCGACTCAGAGGAAGCTTGCTACAGTTGGTACGGATTCGGCACTGTTGACGACTTTTTGCGAAGAAATTTTCCGCGGGTGAAATCCCGAGGGTTGAAAGGGCGAAAATGACGGAAGTAAGCTGTAGCAAATAAAAAAATGAACAACTTTTGAATATAGCTACACTATTTTTACAAAACCACAAAATTTTCAAGTTTTGCGACAAAAAGTTGTCAGATTCCGAAATTTGGAGAAAACGTAGCTTTTTGATTATGACAAAAAGATGACAATGTTTTAGGACCCGAAGTAGAGCCGTTTCCGAGATATCCACTATTTTCGGACAAAACGTCTCTCTTTCAGAGGGTTAATAAATCTATTTTTTTTTTCATCGTAAAGACTATTAAACCTTTATTTAACTAATTTGCTTCAATCGATCGCATGTGCGTGGTACATAGTCTGTAGGTCCTGAGTGCCTTTCTTTCTTAGAGCTGTATGTCGAATAAATTGATCTCATCTGTAAATGATTAGCTTTGTGTTTAGGCGAGTCTAAATTACGACCCTGGATAAGATTTCTCAAGATAAATTTTCCTATTTGTACCCAGGATTCTGTTGGGCGTTTGTTTATTGTATCCATGGCAACATTTATACCAATCAATAAAAATGACCAGATGATTCTGTTTGCGGTACTAAATTTCAATTTCAAATTTCACAAAGAAGTGGCACACGGTTGCAAGTCTCTCTCTTTAAAAATAGCTGAGATACACTGCAGTCTCAATCAAAATAGGACACACGGTACATCATTCAAGATATTTGTAAGTATTTAATAATATCTCTGATCGATATTCATTTCGTGTTAAATTATTCTTCCAAACCTTTAACACGGTTGCTTTTTTAAAAGAAAAACAGAGTTTCATAAGACACAATCACCGTCTCAACTATTAAATTAAAACGAGAAAAGACACATTTAGATTAAGATGCACATTACGTATCACCAAACGACGACTTCAAGACAGATTGAGGGGCGAAATGTTTTTAAGACACGCGAAAACTTTGGAAAAACACTACTGCAGTGCGTGACATTTGGTGATAACATCTTCGTAACACAACTGTTCGGAAACTAATTCCTAAATGTGTTATTCTTTAATTACCGGTACAAAGGACTTAATTTGTATTTTGAGCAAAGTTCATTTTAAATCCATTACTGTCACATTAATGCTATAAATTTGAACACCTCGTCTCAAAATTAAACTGAAAAACAAAGCAAAAAACTATGCAAGGTTTTGTCGAACAATCGAATCCAATTGCATGGTTGCCTTTTATTCGTTTCGGTGGGAACAAAGTATAAACGGCATCATTATTGCACAACATTATAATGGTTTCACCTTCGAAAGTAATAGGCTGTTATTTTTCCGGTTATTTGTTTATTCATTTCTTACATTCCAATGACAATGTTTTAGTTGAAAGGAAAAACTGTACTCGTAACATTAGTAGAATTGAAAAAGAGGTACGATTTGTTCGACAATAGGCTAACTTTGGAACTTATGGCCTTGAAAATTAAGAAGCAGTAATGCTCCAGGTCCTCGTCGGTTTAGATTTATTCTACGATCAGAGTGATTTTGGGCCAAAGTAATAAGCACTTGAAAAACCAGTGCCAGACATAAGAGCATAAAATTTGTATAAACACGAAATTGGGGCTAAAAGATTCTAGTTTATTAACATCTGTGAAGTCCAACAAAAATTTTAAAAATTTTCTAACACGGCAAAAATAGTACCAAATTGGCATAAAATTCGATACTCTAATATCGGTACCCCAATTTTATCGGTGAACACGCGAATACAGTGCTCCACGTCGGCATGATGGCATAGAACCTATTATAGTAGAGGACGCAGATACAAATCAAATACAATAATAAGCTTGTTTCACAATTGACGCAAACGTAAACGCCAACGGAAACGCAAACGGTAACGTGAACATGAACAAATTCGCAGTCTCACAATTAACGTTACGCTCCTGGAGTGTTAAGTTTTGTCACGGAATATTTTGTTTATTAAAATGTGTTCTGTGGTAGTTGAACTAACCTAAAAAATGGCAACAAACGGATAATCATGCAATACTTCGTACAAAAATAATTAAGTTTGGTCTTTTAAAGGTTATGTGGCTGGATCGCAAGCGCGCGCATGTTTAAAACGCCAACGGGAACGGGAAAGATAAAAGTTGACCAACTGTCGCGTTTGTTTCACGTTTTCACGTTCCCGTTCCGTTATATGTGAATGGAAATAGTAAATATTCATGTTTTAATTAAATGCTGGTTCACGTTCGCGTTAGCGTTCACGTTGGCGTCAATTGTGAGACAGGCTGAACAGTAGATAAAATAAATAGCATCAATCACGCAAGTGGATGTTGAATACGAAGGTCTATTCAATCATACAGTACACAGCTGTTCATTTTGGGGGAACCATGTTGGTAGAAAGAAATGTCATTATAGAGTGCACAGGGTGATCTCATTATAGAGCAGGTTTCTCAAAAAATTGGTCGCTCTATTGTTTTTTGGGTAAATGATTTCCGGATACGCAACTGATCGATCGATTACGTGAGAAAAGTTAGTAGCGCCCGTCTGGCGTGAGATAAGCAGAGTTAATGGGTTATACGTCTATACGATTTGGATCCGTTTCGTGACGCAGCGGAAGAACTGATTACGCTGAGGGTTCTGGCAGAACTTGCAAAGGTTTCTTGTTGAGGTTTTTGAGAATTGCGTTTTTAAACATGAGACTCATGAAAGAAGATGACGATGTTGGCAGAACGAATAAAGATGAATTCTGAAACCGATTAGCAGCTATTTTGAAGGTGTAGTTGTAAAAGTGAATAGTAAAAAAAAGGAAAATCGCATTAAACTGTGTGGGTATCGTGTGAAAAGGACGATCAAAGTTATCAAATTACGTAATACACGTATTGCGCGAATTGGAGTTATTTAAATGAATAAATCAAAAACGAAACGTCTCAGTTAAAACAAAAAGTGGCTACAGGAAATAAAATGAAAGCGACGGACAGGTTACACGTAGATTTTACCAGTGATACCTAAAAAATAGGGATGTGGATTTATAAAATATTAGGTACCCTGGCTATTTAAGTCACACTTTGCTCGAAGATAACGAATGTCATTTTCAAATTTGTGCATGATGCAGCTCCTGTTTGAACATTTCTCAGGGAAAACCAACTCGCTTTCCTGAAACAAGTGCCATATTTTTCCATCAAATGAGTTCTCCTAGAGAAAATTACAAAACCGACACGTAATCGAGCCGGATGTACAAAAAATTTGGATATCCGTAAAATTGTAAAATAAAGTAATTGCATCTTTCTTGAAGTTGTGTATTCAATCCATTGCCATG